TTGTTCCAGTGTTTGTTCAGGAATCCACAAGATGTCACCAGTTCTTCCATAATGCTCTTTGCTTACACTGAAGGCCACGAGGGTAATTTGTTCATGGGCTGGATCTGTGTCTTTTACAGATGGGTGTACTAGCTCTGTCTTGAACAATGCTGTACCTATTTTTGTAGTGCCTCTGAGATCGAACTGAGTTGAGAGATGTGTTTGTTTGGACTACGGCCAAGTAACAGTGGCCAAGTCTCAGAGTCAGCATACAAGTAGCCCATTTAAGGAGAGTTCAGTATTTCCAGGGGATGGACAGCCATGCTTTAGATGGGCTATGCACGTGCATTTGCCTGCAATGAGTTTCATGCCCTGCTGGAATCCCACAGGAACTGGTCAGGCATTTGTGAAAGAGGCAGAAAAGAGAGGTACCAGGGATCGTGTGAGCTTTGAAATTCTGTGTGTGGGGGAAGTGAGGCTGTTTGAGAAGCGCTGCCAGATTGCACTGCCTCTCTGTGCCTCTTCCCTGAACATGTTTCACTTTTGTTGACGCTGAGTTTTTCTCTTTTTACAGATGTTTACTTCATTGCTACTTTGTCGTTCTTGTGGAAAGTCACTGTCATCACTCTGGTGAGCTGTCTTCCCCTCTACGTCCTGAAGTACCTGAGGCGAAGGTTTTCTCCTCCAAGCTACTCAAAGCTCACATCCTAGGGCTGCTTTCCTTGTGCACCAGAGACAAATGCTGCACATGGCTGAGAGGCAAAAATCGTGTAGTTGTTACTAAAACAAATACGTCTGATATTTGCATAAGGATCATGTGGTAATCTCTATTACATGCTGCTTCATTGAAAAAGACTTCACAACTACCATGAGTGGAGACTGACTGATACAAGGGAGTTCTTTGGAGAGTGGAGGCACTTATTGGTTCAGCCACTTTTTGTCACTTTCGTTCAGCTTAACTGGGGTCACATGCATGCAGCTATGGTGATGATTGGTTTCTCACTTGTGGTTAAAATCATCCAAAAGCTGCTAACTGACCTCAAAATTTATATTTGACGATTTTTAATTTTTTAAGTATCTGTGGTGTTCCTTGCAATGTGTTGTGTAGTTTTATATTCATCTTTTCGATTCGAGTAGGTACGTTCTTTTTACATCTTGGAAATCCCTTGATGTAGGTGATGCACTGTAGTGCTGACAACAGATTCCTGATTTATGGCATGCTGCTCCCATTGCGGGGCTCCAGTCTGCGCACGCTTGAGAATCTGAGCTTATCTGAGATTTTCTGCCAGTGCTCACCCTGGTGATTTTGGTGGTATCCAGCCATCGATAACTACAGAAAAATGTAATCCAAAATGAAGAAATGGAGTTTTGTTTAGCTTTTGTGCTTCCTGTTAGAAGGAGCTGGTGACATAATAGCTTTACTGTATATTTATTTGTATAGCAGAGAATTATCTAAACTAAAGCAAATTTCCTTTGGAAAAAAAAATTGCAGTTGATCAGACTTGAAACGTGTTGACAATGTGAGAAGACTCTTGTACTGTTCTACAGACAATGTGGCAGACTGTCTTGAATCCTTGGAGACTGAAAGGAAAGGTCACAGAGCTGCTGCTCCTCTCAGCTGTACCAGGTCTGTTTCCTGTTAGGGTGGAGCAGTGAAGATGGGCTGCAAATAAGCGGAGGCACTCCTGGGTGGATGTTGTTCGTGACGAAGTCTCTACAGAAAGCAGTTTTGAGAACCTTCCGTGGGCTTCACTCTAAAAACCGAACTTGAATCAGAGGCAGGAGCAGGGTCTGTACAAAGGCTTGTATGCAAAGCAAAAAATACATATATTCTTTAATCTGGTGAGTTTTGCTTTTGTAGTGAGGTTCAGCCCCCATTGTAACTCAGTGAGGATGGCTGCACGTGCACAGACAGCTCAGGAGAACGGCAGCTACAGGAACCTTTTGCTGTTGGGGCTGTGCATCTATCATGGCCGAGCTTGAATAGTGGCAGACCTCCTCATCTAATGGCCGTCGAGTCTGTGATAAATTAGTTGCTTTCTGTCTCGTTCCCACATCACAAAAACCACGGTGGTGGCTGGCACTGCCTGGCGCCGCGGCGGGGATGGCAGAGCTGTGTGCCTGCACACCCCGGGCTGTTGGGGCAGCCCGTCCGGGCCAGGCGCTGCACGGAGCAGACGCTCCTGCTCGTCGCTGTGCCACGCAGGGCGCCTTTCATGGACTGCCAGCTTCTGCTGCCATTGCCACAGCCGCTGTCGCAAGCGGCATGAAAGGCTCTGGTGTGAAAAGCAGTGGAAAATGGGAGCGTTGTTTCAGAAGGAGAGCTGGAGTCTCTGTGGATCCATAGTGGTGCCTCTCGGGTTTTCAAGTTGAAGATCGCTGTGGCTTGTGTGGTGATTGCTCTGAGGAATGCCTTGGACAACCTGGGCAGCCTTCCTTGCTCTCAGTTATGGAGAGGAAATATCAAAGAGGAGGGAAGCAAGTTCCAAAGGAATTAGAGAAGAAATAAAAATTTGTGTAGCCTGGGGGTGAGGAAGCAGCAGTCCGTATGGCCTCGTTGTCATTTCATGTGAGGAAAACCCTGAGTTTAGAAAAGCATATTTTCAAAATGTTGCCTTTCATTCCTTCTCTTCTGAATTGTTCCTAAAAATAATAATAGTATAACAGTATGCATTTGCAGCCCTGTGACACACGGTTGTTTTGGGAAAGGTGCTGTAAGTCCTGCACCGTGCAGTGGTTTGTCTCCAAGGATAAAAAGCAGTGTCTGTGCAGCCCCGTTTTGGAACAGTTGGGCTGGCAGCATTTTGTGGATGATGCCATGTGCCAAAAGGTGCTTCACGTTTATCTTCATTGCGACTTGCTGCAATTCCTGAATAGTGTCAGACGTGCACATGTTCTGAGTCCCCGTCAATACCCGATTTCAGTAGATTTAAGAACAAGAATCAAGAATGCTTTGGCAGTTTCTTGCCGCTAAGAAGTCCTTCAGAAGATACATCGTGGTACGCATCTGTGTAGGATCCCCATCCCTGTGTGTGTGAGCATCCCACGGGGACAGCAGCGCTGCGCTACCGCCTGTAAATATTTGGCTTGTGTCTGTGGTAGAATTCACTGTTTCCCAAAGTCAGTACAGTTTACGCTGAGTGGACCATATTTGCAAAATATTAGCTTACACCAAGAAAGGGAGTGACCTGTGATTTCAGTAACGTTTGTTGCATCGTAACCGTGATGCTGAAGGCCCGTTGGGTGGCAGTGGGAGCAGTCTGTGGCTGTGTCCTGGGGTGCAGGCGGGGTTCCTTTGCACAAGGTTGTAAATCCAGGAGGAAATTTCCCTCTGGTTAGACTCTGCGTTTTTTAAAGTAACCAGAAAATTAAAACTGCCATCTAGAGAACAGCAGGAAGGAGGAGGGACTGTTGTATTTTTCAAGTTTAGCACTTTACATCTGCAGTTTATTTCTCTTAAGTTATTTAAACATCTTTTTAAAAGCAAAGTTTAATAAACACACTCCTGCTTACCGTACACGTGAATAAATGCATTCTCTGTTGGAAATTTAGTTTAATCTCTTTCATCTAGTCTGATCATAATTTGTGCTTCTTGGAAGCAAAGCATTGTTTCCTTCTTGTGTGCAGTACCTTGTGCGTAGATTCAATCAGTGTTCTATTCCCTCCCCTTTTAGTTGTTCTGGTGTGTGTGCTGCAGCAGTTTGTGCAACGTGTGAGCTTTGGGACTGCGCCCCAAGTGCTGCTGTGGGATGGCAGTGCTGGGTGCTCCTGTTCCCCTCCTGCTGTGGGGAAGCTGTGCCGTGCTGTGCTTAGTGGTGTGCAGGTTTTGTGACACGCATTGTTCTGTTCTTCCATCGCTGCAGTAATTCTAGGTGTGTTGCAACCCTTTTCGTTTTTTTTCCTTTACTCTCACATGCATTTCCAATGGTTTGCCCCAGGTTATCTTTGCAAACACTTGTTCTGCTCAGCTCGTATTGCAATTGAATTGCAGCATTCTTTATTCAGCAGCAGCAGTTTAAATCTGAGCACAGCCTTATCAGAACTGGGCTGAGTGATGAGTGACATCCCTGGTGTCCTGTCAGCGTTGAGAGCTACGTGCTGAGAGCTGCAGCTGTGGCTGGATCGAACTGAGCAGCACCGAGGGTGTTGTTTGTCTGTGGTCTGCTGCACGATCGCAATTAAATGCTGTGACAAACTCCTTTGCCCTGTGCAACTCTTGAAAGGAATTCTGCTCTGGTGGATCAGGGAGCTGTGGTGAGTTAAATGTGTGAATCCCTAGAGCTCATCCTCTGGCTTTATCTTTTAAAGAGAGCTGCTGCATCACGAGGTGCATCATAAATCCTTCGTTTGCACCAGCAGTGCTCAGCACCAGGCAGGTGAGCTGCACTGCATGCAGCTCGTTGTCAAGTGTTGTTGCACACAGCCCTTCAGGTGGGGTTGGTGCATCCTCACGGCTGCGTAGTGAGGGCCATCTCAGGGCCTGCTGGGACCTTCAGCGTGAGCTGGGTGGGCTCATTTATTTTGTTTTCATTATTAGTTACTTCAGAGTTAATAAACCTGTTGATTTGCATGAAATCCTGGGTTCTACTTTGCCAATATGGTCCATTACTACTGCCTACTACAATTTGTGTACTTATATGCCTTTGAGAACATTTCTAATTGTTAAAATTTGTTAAAAATTAAATGTTAATTTAATTTTTAATTGGGGGAGGTGGATTCTGGTGTCAAAATGATATTTACTGTGATGCCAATGTTTTGTACCTGTCATCTAGTTAAACAACGTGTAAATATACTCTCTGTTCAAGAGAAATATGAATGCCAATTATTTATTGTTCTGTGGAGTTGTATGTTGCAGATGTGTAAGAACTTAAAAGGGAATGTTGTAAAACAAGGTGGAAAAATAAATTTTATGCAACTTGTCTATTTCATCCATATATGCCAGGTGTGGGGTACCGAGCCGGGCTGGGTGTGAGCCCTCCACAAGCTGTAAGCCTTCTTTCAAGCAAAAAGAAAGGCAGCTTTCATATCAGAAACAAAGTAAATCTACGACAAACTGTCCCTCAGACAATTACATCTATGTTAAAAAGTTCCCTTTAGATTCTGTAGGACACGGATGCCAGCATCGCACTCCCTCTCAACATTAACTCTTGTGTGCAATGCTAATGCAAACATTAAATCAGCAGTTTCTCTGATGTTTGTGCACATCAGATGAATGTCGTAGGCTCCAGAAATTACAGAACAGACTTCTCTCCCAAGTGTTCCCAATTTCCCACCCTAAATGGGTTACATAAGCCCTACTTAGTGGTTCTTTTAATTTATGACGGTTTCTTTTAATGGTGAAATGTGTAATTTAAAAAAGTTAGAAATAGTTTTTCTAAACTTGCTCTGGAAAGCGAAGGAGAATTTCTCCATTTTTTTTTTTCACCCAAACATTGCATAATAGTAGAAATGTCAAAGATTTCCATGGGGCTTAATTTCATTCTTCATGTGGCTGTGGTCATACCAGCAGTTTGAACACTGCAGGGGTTGGCAGATTTTTGGAAGATCACGCATCCTGGGATAAGTTTTCAGCCTAAGCTTCACCAAAGGATGCCAGTGGCCTGATTTTTCAAGTTGTGGTTGTATTATTATATGCTTGTCTTTTTTTTTTTCTTTTAAAGGGAGGAGGAGGAAAAAAAAAAAGGTGCTGGCTGGTAATTGGGTATCATAGTGCGGCCCCGAGCCTGGTGTGTGGCGTGAGAACCTGTAGAACATTACCTTCAACCATTTCAGAGAAGAAAAGTGTCGGAGTGCCCTCATCTCCTGGTGGATCAAGTAGTGACATCTGTACATGCACTCTGCATCTCTGCTGCATTAGCGTGGCATTAAATATCCCTGCTGTAACAACTGTTTCCCAGGAAGGTGGTGCTGAGCTTCCTGTTTCACAGGTAGGAAATGGGACCAGGCAGAGGAGTTCTCTGGGCCAGGCCCAACACCCACACTGGAGCATGGAGCGCAAATCTGATTTTGATTATCAGACTTCTTTCCCACCTTGAAGTCAATCTCAGAGGAAAGATACTTACTCCACAGAGTATCCAAATGGTTGCTTTTAAATTAGGAATGTGATTGCAGGCTTTAAAGCAAAACAAAATGCTGTTCTGTTACATGGAGTTCTGATAAATCGCAATCCAATGGCTGCATTTTGCTGCGTTTCTCTGTCTTGGAATGGAGCCTGCACCAATGTTCTGCAACCCTGTGGTAATGCGGTGAGTTTGAGAAATGTGAGCAGCAATTACCTGCAGGAATGGCTTTGCTGTAGCTGCAAAAAGGTGTAATAAGAAGAAAAATCTGCATTTTTCCATTGTACTCAGCAATGATTAGCAGCACTGAATCCTGGTCCATCCTACGTGAGGTCAGTACCAAAACTGGCATCAGCCTAATGCCTGCTGGGTGCTGTGGTTTTCTGGGGCCACAAGCATTTCCTTGCCTCAAAATCTTGGGCTGGAGGAGTTTTTTGGGTCACACTGTGAACCTCTGAGTTTCTGCTTCTTGTAGCTAAAGGTGCAGATGGTTTCTGACTTGCAAGACCCAGCCTTCAGAAGAATGTCCTTCCCTCTCTGCTCTTTCTCCCTTTGTGGCATAGGACCTAACTGTTACTGGCTGAGCGGGTTACACAAAAGGGCTTTCAAATCATTGCATTCCCACTTTAAAGCCTCCTTCTCTGGGCTTGTTGAAACTGCACGTAAGGAGAATATTGTGTGCTGCTCAGATTCTCTCACAGAAAGAAGTAGTAACAAGAACAATCTGTGCAAAAGAATTTAGCGCATTAAAGATGGGGGTAATAGTCATTCTCATTTGTCCTTTTATGTGAACCAGATTTTATTTTAATGTACACTCTGAGTAGCTTAACCATATCCAGAAACTTGTTTACCAAGGCGAAAGTCGAATTACTCGCAATATAAATTAAGAGCACGAAGAGAGGTGGATTGATGGTGCTGCGTGCTCCTGCTCCCCATCCCGAGGCACTCCTGCAGCACACACCTTGCTGGGCACGTGGGATGGGGCAGCTCTGCACTCATCGTTCCACCACACGGAACGTTTGCCCATGTGTTGCACATCTGCTCCAAACGAGCTGTGCTGTGGCTCTGCTGTAGGCGTTACATTTCTCTGCTGTTGGACATGGATCTGTCCTGTGCTGGCTCTTGCATTTTTAAGACATGTCACTTCTGATTCATTTTGTACAGTGCTGGGTTTCAGCAACGTGTGACTTGTCAAAAAGTGATGCAAATTGCTACAGATATTTAAAATGAGGCTTAGTGTAGCCATTAGATAAAGTGCTGCAGAACAGTGCTGACGGAGCACGTTCATTGTTCCAACAGTGGCGATGCCATGAACAGAAACACAGCCCATGGAAAAGGCAGGGGATGCAGGATTCCCCTTTATAAGGATCAGTGTTACCTCTGCAGATGGTGATCCTGTGCTTCCAAGTACCTCGCTGTGCCTACAGGGCTGGGCCCCATGTTAGCCCATTCCCCCTGCAGCTGGGGTTGGTCTGAAGCTGGGAGCTGGAGCAGGTTGCTCTCATAACGTCGTGTTCCCTTCCATCTCACTCTGCAGGATCTGACCTCTGAGAAGAGAGCAGAGCTGTGGTGGTGGAGGTGCTGCTGCCAGCGGGTGTCTGCTGAGGTGGGACCCTCCTTTACTGTGGAGGTGGTGCTGGAAGCATCTACAGCTCTCCCCAGCCATGTCTCTGTTAGGCTTCATGCTGTTCATAAGTTTGACATCCAGCAGCCACAAGCTGTGGAGCTTCAGAGTCCCAGCAAAAAGCAGCCAGCATTTTAACTTCTCTCTTGCCAAGGCTTCCTTAGCATGAGCCAGCAAGGAGAGCTGTGCTTCTGGAGCTGCTCTTGTGGTGAGTGAGTCCAGGGAAACCCAGCCGTGCTCGCTGCCCTCCGGTCCCACAGAGCGCTCAGGGGGTCACAAACCACTCAGGCTGCACACGCAGTTCTTTCCTTAATTTTTGAAAGTAATTGGAACCGTTGCATCCCAATATTCATTAATATAGCTTTAAATATTTAGTAGGTCGTCTTGGCTTCACTCAACCCTGCAGCAATTCAAAACCAGTGACAAACAGATAAGTGATTTTAAGGCAAAGGTGAATAAAATTAAACTTGGGCAAGCAATTTTTCCACTGAAGTTTGAGCTGGAAACTTAACACTGTTCTTCCCCTCCTCTCTGTTTGCCTGTGTCCAAGGTACATAAAATCCCCAGAGGAGAAGACCAGTTTTGTGTAGGACCCCTTGCTACCATGGTCACAAATGAACCATTCCACAGAGGCATTTATCAGTGATGTGCAGTGTGGCACAGGAATTTGGAACTCCTCCACTCTGACAGCTGGGCTGTAAAATGAAGATGTTTTACAAAGACCTGGGTTAGATGTTATCCGAGCCCAGCTATTTTCCTTCTCCAGATACGCCTCTTTCCAGTCTTCAGCATCCTTTTACTTGTTTGTCAGAATGCACTGCTGCCTTTTAGCTGGATCCAGATAACCAAACCCATGTGACAGTTTGCATTTTAGGTTGAAATTTGTCCCAGAATTGATCAGGCAGCTGTCTCTGGGCAGAAGTGTTATTCAAAGCTGCCCACTTCTGCTCCTAGGCAGCTTCAGGCCTCCTGCTGATTGCATTTTGACATCTGATCTTTCCTATACACAAGGAGAAATGATCCAGGAAACAAATTTGTAAAGTAAAATTGCTATTTGCAATGCTGAGGCCTCAGGGAGAAAATCCTTCTGAACTCGGAGAGAAGCACACAGTGTGTGCTCTGCTGGGGCTGCGCTGCTCTGCACCTCCAGGGAACCCGGCAGCTTTTGTTGGAGTCCCAGCCTAATTCTCCTTGTTACTGAAGTGTGGAACTAATTTTTACAGGTGCACTGTTCACCATAAATAGTCTTCAACAGAAAGAAACGTCTTGTATTTCACATCTGAGTGACAGCTATTTCCTTCAGCAGCCTCTGCGTCTTCTGGGATCTTTCCCCACAAGGATGCGTGTGGGCAGAGATTTATAAGTGCTCCCTCTCCCCTTTATTTCAGCTCCTGTTCCCATTCTGCCTTGGAAGAACGTAATGTGACAAAGCCTTCAGTAAAACCAGAGCCTGAAGGAAATATCAGGTGTTAACATCCAATAAAAAGCTAACGCGGTGGAATGAACTGGGATTGCGAGGTACCTCTTGTATGGCTGAGGCAGGAACTGACCAAATGCAGCGTTTTTATGATGGTGACAGGTAAGCACTAATTACAGCCCCTGCACTCCATCACAAGCCGACTGTCAGGGTAACTTACTGCCCCCAGTACCTGCAGTGACGTTGCGAGCGCTTTCTGCTCCTTTCTGTAACTGAATGCAGTTGGTCCTGAAGGAACATAGGGAGTAAATCTGAGGTGCTGAAAGAAATACTGCGCTAGAAATTACGCTGCAGGGAACATTTTATATGCTTTGGAGTAAATTAGTGCCTGGGTTTGGGGTTTTTAGGAAAAAAATCTTTGTGCACAAATACACACTTAAAAATACACTTTCTTTCAAACACCAACCACTTTAACAACGGTGTAAATCAGATTTTACAGACCACATATTTCAAGTATGAAGTTCATTAAACGTGTGAAATTTTAGATTAGCTGCCGGGTGTGGCCAGAGCTGCAGTAATGAGTCGTAAATTGTGCCTGGGATGTGATATCAGATTCCCAGCGCTGGCAGCCATACTGAAGGTGTAGAACCACCTGCGTAGCCTTCCTTCATTATCATTATTTAGTTCAGCCATCATGTGATAAGGTGAACGACAGCATCAGTGTTTCCATCCCTAACCCACCGTGCAGGTGCCTACCTGCATTAGTTTGTTGTTGTTATTAATGAACCAACTTCTGCCTTAATGTAACAAATGCCACCTATTTACAGCTGTATTACTGCCAGCACCCTGATGGCAAGCGGTTGTCCTTAGGTATGAGATGTCACTTAAATTTACGACTTGCTCTGACACTGCATGAGAGAATCCCTCAGTGGTTCCCTTCCCCAACAGCTCTGCAGCATTGCTGCCCCAGGTCCTGCTGGGTCCCAGCGCCCTGGGATGGGATCTCTGTGCTCCGCTGTGCACTGTGTTCACTGTGCAGGGCAGGAGGTTAAGAACCATTTCTAATCCTGATTTGGCCAGCAAAGGGAACTTCCCAGGTAGCAGCATGGTGGGGTGTGAGGCGTGCTGTTCCCTGTGCAGCTGTTAGCTGAGGATCTTAGAATGCAGCTGGTGACTGCAGCTCCGGCAGCACAAGCACTGAAAGGAGCAGGTAAATGCAACGTGTTGTTTGCTGCCTTTCCTTGCACAGAGAAGCACCTCTCCAACTCCCAGACGTGACTGATGTTCCTCCAATTACTGCAGTGCATAATCGCTCCTTTCAGATCTCTCACTCTTCTCAACCTCACCTTCAAAATCTGGGAGACAGAAACGAAGAACACCCAATGGCTTTATAATTTTAAAGAGAAAACGTCTCAGGCACGAAACCAGCGTCTTTATGGTCTCATCCTGGACTCTTAATTGCTTGTTTAGTCTTGCTCTTAAAAGGAAGTTCAATTTTATCCTTTGTGCTTGCTTGCAGAGGGCCTTGGAGCTGCTAACCTCATCACTGATAGTGGTTTGTAAGGCAGTGCCAATGTGGAAGGCTTAAGTGTTCCCTGAGAGCAATGTTTGATGTTTGGATAGAAGCATAAATCATGGTGCATAAACATCCGTCGCTGTACGATTTTGCTAATTGAGTGCACCAGGAGAACGTCGGTTGTGGAGAAGATCTAGAGCCATCTGCACAGTAAATCCGTCCATTGCTCTTATCTTCGAGCTGTTGTGTCTGGGTGCTGCTTGCACAGCTCCTGCTCCACCTGCACTCCCCTTTCTCTCAACACACACCCTTAAAGCCCTCGTTCAAGACCCAGCATGGGCTCATTGCAGAGCGACCAGCCGGGCCATGCGGTGGCTGTGGGGCTGCAGGGTGCCCATGGGGCCAGCCTCAGGGAACGAGGCCTGTGATGCTGCTTGGAGAAAAGAGGTTTGGCTTTCGCCTGAGAGAAGAAAAAAGGAAAAGACCGGGTTTTTCAGGAGGCTGAAGTTCAGAACAGGTTTTGGTGCAGCTGCAGGTGCAGATCCGGTGGTACTTTTGCTTGCACCCTGATGTGGGGATGGTGGCACTGCTGTGTACATGGCGTTGTGCTGCTGTGTGACTGCTTTGCAAACGTGTTTTGCTCCATCTGGAATCCTGAGAACTGTAGGCAACAGACGTGGTAATGGGGAAAACGGAAGACTGCAGCCTAGGATGGGATTGTGTGGGGTCAGCTGCAATAATTACATCCTCACATCCCTTAAGAGGATGCTAATTCAAGAGCTGCCTGACTAAAGGCAGTGAGAGTGGGGCTCTATTGTTCTGTGAGTGAGGAGAAAGACATTTATTTTTTCCTTTACAGGAAATTTTTGAGGGGAGGGGGAAGAGAAAGAATGTTCTCTACACTTTCTTCAACATCTTTCTTATTTGTGGTTTTGTTTGCTGAAGCTGCCTTTGTTGAGGGGCAAAAATAAAAATCACTCTTTACTTACAAAAACTAGTTTTAATATTCACAAACAGAATCCTTTCGCTAAAGGCCAGTTCTTAGGAAAGAAAATCATTGTGACTCAAAAAATAGCCTTTCAGCTCACTGGATGTTGTAGAAAAAAAAATTGAGCAGCTTTCATTGTAGATGAAAAGCTCTTTTTCTTTTGGAGAAGATGTTCAGATGAGGACAATCCTAGCCGCTCTGATTGCAGCCTGCGAGAGCTGCGTGCGTTCCTGAGCCACGTGGAGATCATTACGAGATCAGACACTCTGCTTGCAACTTAATTAAGTGTGCGAATACTTTATTCAGACAAGTGCATTGTCAGAACAGGCTTTGGTTGGTTAAGTGCTTGCTGGTGTCACGGCGCTCCGGGGCCGTTACAGAAATGGAGAGAGATGCCAGTGTGCAGCAGGCAGGCTGTGCTGCAGTGCTGTGCTGCGGTGCTGTGCTGCGGTGCTGTGCTGCTCGGCCTGTGCTCAGTGTGGTGAGGAGAAGTGAGGGCACAGCGGGCACCTGATTCCAGCGGCCACGCAGGGCTGTGCCCACAGCACGTCGCCGGTGTGTCCTGTACGTGATGGGGAGGACTGTATTTACTTTGGAAGGCCGATCAGCTTTTGTCCAAAGTGCTGTTGTTGTGAGCCTGAAATACCTTTGCAAGTGGAAAACAGAGATGTCTCTGTGAAGTCTATTGTGATAAACTCTCCGGCAGCTGCCCTGATGGCCCGTGAGCACATCCTCAGGAAGCCTTGATGTCTTATCTTCTGGAGAGCATGTGAATTTTTTTATTTAAACAAGCAATTTGGTTTTTTTATTGCTGATTAACGGCACGGAGCCAGGCAGGCCGCGTGGCTCTCAGCAGCGAGTGATGCTGGGGATGGGGGGTGGCTGGCCTGGCACCCAGCACGTCGCTCCCCAGCTGGCTGCCGGCTCTGCCCAGCACCACAGCTCTCCATGCCAGGCAGGGAGCTCCTTGCTCGGCTCCTCAGCTGTGTGCCCAGCCCAAAGGGGCTGCAGCAGTTTCCAAACTGGCCCATGGACCAAGGCTGGGAGATGTGTGTCCCCCCCGCTCCATCCCCGAAGCTGAAGGTCCTGGTTGCGAATCCCGGGGTGCCGTGCATGCGGTGGGGCTGCCGCTGGGGGGTAGGGATGTGGTCCGGAATATGCCCCTGAAAGGAAGAGGAAGTATTCTCCTAAAGAGGGAATAAATAGTTATAAATATTAGCTATTAATAGTTCCTTACCTCCAAAAATAAAATCCCTTAGTGATACCAAAATAAGAAAGCAAAGGAAAGTCGGAGGTATTTGGCCTTCCTTTGAAAAGGAAGCTAAAAATAACTATATATATATAAAAATTTCTCGTTTCTAGGGAAAGTCTCTGCCCCCGCATCCAGCCTGCACAGTTATATAAGACTTGAACTATATCCCCCTTCTCCTCCACGGCCGCTCACAACGCGCTGCGAGCGGAGCCAGATGGAGAAAGGTTCCGTCAGGAAAGTTTAACTCAGCGGGGAAGCTGCAGCCAGTGGAGGACAGGATTCTCTCGCTGAACTCTCCAAAAGACTTGGAAATCTTACAGTTGTGTCATATGCTGGTTTGGGGAATGCTAGCAGTCCGGAGGCAGCCGCCAGCCCTCTTTCACTTCGTTCTTTATTTATTTTTTTTTTTGCTTCGAGCTGAGTTTAATTTGGGTAGCAGGATTCAGCATTTTTAAGTTGGAAAAAACTTGGTGGAAGAAGATATTTTAGGAAAACCCTGTCATGTGAACTAGCGGGAGCCGATCAAACCGAGCTATTAAAAGAAAGACATTGTATTTTTAAACGGTCCAGACTAGGGAAGCCAACCTGTGTGCCATAACTGCTGAGCCGTGACTGCTCCCCCGATTATAGCTCAGCGTGGGATGAGGTGAAGCTTTCCATTGGGGTGGCCCATTCTCCGCTCGCTCTGGGATACCCTTTGGCAGAGCCCCCCCAGGCTGTCCCCCCACCTCCTGCTCCCCTGCTCTGCTGCAGGACCCTGTGCCCCCCCTGCCTCTGCTGCAGGGCTGTGCTTTGCCTGAAGCCCCTCCAGCTCCTCCTCAGCTGCCGATGTGACCCCAGTGAGAGGGGCTGGGGTGAGCAGGCAATGCTGCAGGGAGGGGTATGATGGTGAACACTGCAGAACTGGTGATGCTGCGCTCCTGTCCAAGTAGGGCAGTACTGTCAGACACCCCTTAATATTTGGAAATAGAAAATGAGCAACTCTGACTTTGCTTCAAATGGTGCAAATGGGGGATCTGGTCTGCAACTGGCTTGGAGAGTGTGCTAAGATGGCTTTGGGGTTGAAACCTGTGGGGTCTGAAAAAGAGCAGTGTCGCTGGGTGCAGCATGACCAGCTCCATCCTGTGGGGAGCTGTGTGGGGCCTGGGGTGCACCCACACCCACCACTCCGGTGGTGCATCATCACACACCATGCCAGGGATGCACAGGGCTGAGAAAGGGCAAATCCTGTAGGTGTGACGGCAGCCTTGTGGTGCTGCTCTGCTGGCTGCTCCTTCCTCCAGCACTGCATCCTGCACCCTGTGCTCAGCGATGCCTTTGCTGTGCAGGGTGGGCTGCGAAGGGAAACCTTCCAGGTTGCAGCCCAAAGGGGAGACTCCAAACGACATTGGTGCTCAGAGAGCAGTGGGGCGATGGGTTCATCCTCTGCAGGGGGAAGAGGAAAGGTTTCCCTGGGAGCCCTCAGGTGTGCATGCAGGAGGGATGCTCGGCCCCGCGGGGTGGCTGTACGGAGGGACGGCGCTCCCCAGCACCCTCCGGGTTCAGTGGCAGCACACTGCATTTACAGGGTGCGGAGCTGGGGAAAGTATTTCCGCCCCTGCACATCCAAAAATGACAAAGGCTAGGAAAGTGAGGTGCGCTGAGTTTCCCTGGCCTGCCTGCAGTTGCTAGCCTGCAAGACAACAAACTAGAGAAGCAGAAAGTTTGATTGTGATACCTCCTTCGAGTCGATTTTGGGACTGAGAGAGTGAAAAATGGAAACGGCGCGCGGGTGCCAGGCAGCCCTCTGCGCTGCGCCGGCCAAGTCCCGCTGCAGTGACTCACTCCCCGCTGCTGCCCAGGGCTCCAGCTGACCCCGGCAGCCACCCCGGCTCGCAGCGCGGCGCGGTGGGGCTGAGCGCTGCTGTCCTTCCTGGAGCTCAGGATCGCTTCTGGGGAGAAACACCCGCGAGCCCAGGCGCATGCAGGCTCTGCACCAGCACAGAACGAAGAGGCAGATGCTCATTAACGTGGCAGTGAAAACTATCTGTTGTAGGCAGCACATGGCTCGCAACATCTTTGACTTTATTTTCCTGTTTTCTTTTGCTTTATTTTCCTGTTTATACATAGTACGTGTAAACACACCCGCGTTGTCTTGGTTTCAGAGGCTTCCTTGGCTATTTCTTTCTTGCTGAGCTCCACGTGTATCAATGGAAAGCTGTGGGGTTGCTCCTCTCTCTTCTAAATGGATCCAAAAATAGAAGCAGAGAGTTCTGTGAAACGCCACCAAACAAATTAACCCTTATTTCTTTTTTCTTTTCGTCTTCTGCATGAAGAAAGACTTGATGGGTATTAATAGGGTGCTGGCAAATTTAAAAGTCGTAAATATGAGCTTGGGACTCGAGTTCTCTCAATGATTTATTCAAAGGTAAAAGCAGCAGCAGCCCGAGCTCGTCTCTGCTGGGAAGAAGGAAAACTTCTGCACAGAAGCCCCGTTGCTTTGAAAGGCTTTGCAGTGCCTGCGAGTTTTGTTTAAAAAGCACACACTGGGATTTTTAACATCATCCATATTTCTTTCTTTCTCGCTCTCTAGCTTTCTGCTCAACAATTAAGTGCTTGTGCTGCAGACTGAGAAAGCCGCAGAGCTGCCTTGGCTCGGAGCTGGGAGACGTCATGGATTCCTGAGTGTGAAGTTTGCAGGAAAGCCCTCGGTTTGGGAGATGGAGGCGATCCAGGGGTTTCCATGGCACTGGGATAAACAGGAGGAAACAGTGAGGGAATCCCGTTATTTTACAGCATTCAAAGACTATAAACACTCGGAGCAGGGAAGGAAGTGGCCTTTCCCTCTCTAGTAACCCTCATCTCAGAGCAGAGAACTGACTTCACTTCAGGAACAAGCTCAGCCCAGTTCGGATCCCTCTTAGCACCTCCAAACGCTTACAGAGGAGGCAAGCAGGAGGGGTTCCCTCTGTCTGGGCAGCACCGGTCGAACATGGTTTAAAGAAGACTTTTTTCCTCTTCTTTTTTCAACTGATAATTTTTTTTTATTTTTTATTTTTTATTTTTTTTTTTAATTTAAATTCCCGATGCAGAGAGAAACTGCCTGCAGGCTGCTTCGTTACCACCACATCATGAGGTCTATGGATCAAGGTAGGGTCTTGCTGGGGTGCTGTGTGTGTGTGCTGTGTGTCTCTGTGTCTTTCCCCTTCCCAGCGCTCACCCCGCTCACCCCGCGGCCCCGGCGCTCCGTTCTGCCACTGGCAGCGCGGCCGGGTGGGCAGTGGGGTGTCGTGGCAGGAAGGGACCGGACGGGGTTTGGGTTCGGTTTGAAGGCGATACAAAGCTGTCTGGAGAAACCTCCTTTAAACCTCAGCCAGAGAGGCTCTCCTCTTCCAAGCCATCACCCGAGGAGGCTCGCTGTCAAACCTCCGGGCCGCTTAACCCTTCCGCCCCCTGCCCGGGGCTGGATCTCAGGGCTCCGCAGGCGGCTTCCCCGGGTCCGCCGTCGGCGGGGGCGGCGCTGAGCTCGGACGGGCGGCTCCGGGCAGCGCCGCGGGCGGGGGGCGCGGGGGGCCGCGGGCTCGGAGCTCTCCGGGGGCGGCCCCGATCGGGGCGAGTCTGCCCGAGGGCTCCGGAGATTCACGGGGGGACGCACTCCGCTCCCCCGCCCTCGCCGCGGCGTCTCGGTGCCGGTGGAGGGAAGAGTTAAGCGCGGCGATAGGAGGAGTCTGCGCCGCTGTCAGCGCCGGCGCCGGGGTCCGCTCGGTCCCCTAGCCGCCGGCCCGCTTCCGCCGCCGAGATCCCCCCTCTCCCGTCGGGGCGGAGGCCGGGGGCACCGCGGCACGCTCCGGCTTCCCTCGCGACGGCGAGGGCGGCTGCGGGCCCCGGGGGAGGGCGCGGCGCCGGGAGCGGCCGTGCGTGGGGACGCGGGGAGGAACGCGGGGCGGCCCTGCGGGGGCTGCGGCTCTCAGGGAGCGCGACCGCGGGAGCAGCTGTGCCCGGAGCTCCGAGCGGAGCCGGGCGGAGGATGCTCCGCGCTAGGAAAGGCCCCGCAGCCCCGCTCTCGGACGGAACGCGGGGCGCTGGCTGCTTCCCCGGCCCTGCAGCCCCCTGCCCGCTCGGCACCTCACCCCGAGGCCCGGGCGGGGAGGGGTGCGCAGGTGAGTCGCTATTTTTGATAGCGGAGCTGCGCTAGGGGGCAGGAGGTGGAGGATGGAAGCGCTTTTCTGCGGACTCGTTCCATTTTCGATTCCGTCCCGCTCCGCTCCCCGCCGCCGGCTGTGCCTGCTGAGCCCCGCGGCCGCCCCGTGCGGGATCGGGGATGCGCGTGAGGGACGCGGCCGCTTCCATGGGGCTGTGCTGGCAAGGCTCGTAGTGGCGGCTATTTCTTTTTTTTCCCTGCCTTAGCAAGCTCCCCAGGCACCTGCCAAAATACACTCATTAACACACGCACCCAAAAGGGCTCATCCGAGAACTCGGTAGAGCCAATGGAGAGGCGCTGACGGGCTTTGCACCGCCTTAGGATCAGGCCATCACTTTGTCTCCTGGGTCCTCGGTTTTCTCCGGCCACGACTCCTCTCTCCCGAGCACCTCAGCCACTCTTAGTCACTCTCACAACAACCCGGAGAACTTATTTTGCTGCAGAGAAAGAAGGAAGGTGAAAGATGGGATCCTTTTTCTCCTAAGCAACGTCACGCTCTCACCTATAGGGTAACCACCTACCAGGCAGCACTCTGACAGCAGCTGCCGAATGTCTTCTATTATCGTGCGTCCCCACTTTCCCCAGCAGTACCGCAATGCCCTGCAGTCACAAACCGAAGCAAAAAGCACCGACTTGTTTTCCAGATCAAATATCTGAGAGCACAGCAGCCGCTGCAGCAGTGCAGTCACACGGCAGAGCCCGGAGGTGCTCTGGGATTGCACTCCTGGGCCCGGGTGCCTGCTTCTCCTTAGGCAAAGTTCCTGCTCCTGTCAGTGGCACAGCGGCGGTGGGAGTGGATTCTGACAGCAACTCACCGTTGTGTCATTTCTGCTCCCAGCCCGTCCTTAAGGATACAGCTGCTTGAAACTGCTGGGAATAAATAGCACGTGGCACTTTCAGGATCTTGCTCTGGGTCTGGGAGGATTCCTGCACCCACAAAACAGTGCAGGAGTTTCATTAATGTAGGGTGTGTAAGAAAGCGTTAATAATTCTGGGCTCTAGCCCCATTTTACAATTAGAGCTGGCTCAGAGTGGGGAACGAAATCTGTACGTGGCTGTTTGCAAAAGGATGGTGCTGCTCTGGCTGTGCTCCCTTGAGCTTCTGCAAATGTCAGCAGGACACGGACACAGCAGAGGTTTTCATCAGGTGACTGAGTCCCTCTGTCATCCCGTTTTCCCACATTCCTGCTGCTCTGCCTCTCGAGGCAGCCCCTTCCTGCGGGCCAGCACGCGTGGCGAGACGGTTACAGCAGCTCACAGCCAGTGAATCACCTCCGAGTCTCTCTTACAGGGCAGAAATCGCATTCACAGATGGGACACTGACATAATTGGAGCACTCTTTTATAACATTCCAATAGATATTCTAACTGAAATGTTTCATCATTCATTTTTTGGAAACAGCCAAGGATAATAATATCCTAGAGCTTCTTTTCCACTACTGGCTTAATCTATTTTTTTAAACTATGATACGCGCATTCCTTTGGTTTGCACAGCAGACTACAGAACTTAATGGGAACGTGGAGATATGAGCAATTTTTCCATTGTCCTTTCTTGCCAAACCGCTTTAAGCCTGAAATTGGGGGGTAATCTCTCTGACTCAACCTGACCCCAAAATTGAATGGTAGTGTGTGCAAGTGCGTCCCTCACAGGAAGTGCCGGAATATTTCCCCCCTCCACCGCCTCCCGTTCCTTCTTCTCTCCCAGCACTCCCCGCACCTCAGGCTGAGCAGCTCATCCACTGCAGTCTGAGCTCATTTGAAAGCGCTTGGATAAAGTCCACGTGCGAGTCCTGGTTGCCTGCTAAATTTCTGATGCTTGCCACATGGACCGTCAGGACTCTTTGGTTTTTAAGACAGCACAGATTTGTATTTCCTCTGAGTTTCAGCTGCTGAAGTGCAGCATTTTTAACAAACCCTGCCCTACCTCTTTTTCTTTAGAACTGTTTAATAGGAGCGTGCTGCAGTTTTACAGATGTGGCTACACGTCGGGTGGTCCTACCGACAGTTAGCAGTCAGTGCAGTTCTGAGAAGTGTCTGTATCTTTTCTCAGCTCGGAACATCATCCGACGCCCCGCGTTACGGTGCAGGGAATACAATGGGACACTGTAAGGAGAAACTGAAACTTGGAAACTACGTATCAGATCTGCAGCAGATTTAAACACTGGGAGTTACGCTAAGCGCTTTTTGAATCGTAGTTTGTATTGCACTAAAAAGTATTCTTAGCTTTGTTTTTGGATTTCTCGTCCCCAAGTACCCAGGTAGTCCAGCATTCACATACTTCTGAAGTTTATGAAAGCAGAGTGCTGCCAAGGGCAAGCTCTCATCCAACTATGTGGAAAAGGAGTCCTTCCATTCTCCAGTTCCCTGAAATGGCAACACAATGTATTTCCAGTTATGCTCTGTGCGGAGGCTGCTGCAAGTATACGTGGCTGCAATTTTTGTTACTGCTGCCAAGGACAGATTTTGCTTAACTCCTTGAAACACCTTTCTGGCTCATGAGAGCAGAGTTATAGAAAACCAGGAGCTGGTGCTGAGTCCCAGAGCTCCGGTGTGGGCACTGGGAGCCCCGGTGGGGGCTGGGGGCTGCACTGCTTGTGAGAGAACTGGAGGGAGCAAAGATGGAGGAGCTTTGTGGGGAGGAAGTGTTTGTCATGTGGAAAAGATGGAGTTAGGGAAAGCAAGTAGTATTTCTGGTCTTTGCATGCCACATTCTAGCCTTTCTCTCCAGTCTTAATGGAAAACAAGTATTAGGAAGCATTTGTCACATTGTTTGGGTTTTTCCTTTGATTTGGAGTGGCTGGATGCCTTTTCTGAGTGCACATATTGAGCGGAAGAGCCCGCAGACTGCTTCAGCCTTGTAGTTTTCCTGCCTTTTCTTCACTGCAAATTATTAATGGTGCACTGGGTAGTATTTGGAAGTCATGTAGCTGTAACAGCTCAAACATCTTTTCTTAACTGTTGGCCTAAGAATGTGTTTGGGGTTTAAGTTAAACTCAGTCCTCAGAGGTCTCCAAAAACTGCGGCTGTCACTCAATCTGTGTGCTGCAGCTGCTTGCACCCACTGATGGTTGGTTTTGTGTATTTCTACTTAGGCCAGATCTGCACTTTGTGGATTTAGACCACTTCTGCTCAAAATAACACAAGGGTAAGTTCCAGCACGGCCCACAGGGTGCAGCATTATAACTCGCACCTCTGCGCCCTGGAAGCCTGCGGGAGCTGTTATTCCCATATGACCAGTGTCCTCTCGTGCCCTGTGTGCACGCAGAGGGAGCAGGGGAAGCCACGCAGCGCTGTGCCTGGTGGCTGCAGCTCCCTGACATCTGTCAGGTTGTCTGCTGGGCAGAAGAGCCGACTCCTACAAACTGAGCTAATCCCTGCATTTCTCCAACACTTCTCTCATTGCTGTCTTGTCACCCTAATTCCTCGCCAGTGTCAGAATTTATGATTCGATGAATTAGCAGTGAAGCTGTTTCGCATGACATGGTCCTCTTGGAAAGCAAAAGGTACATTTTCCATTTGTGGAGTATTACTAATTCTAGGAGTAGCTAAGGATAACTTAGAAACTTTACATTCTTAATGGGTTGCAGACGAGCTAAGAAACACAGGATGAAGGATTGGATAAAGACTGAGCAGAAGAGGGGGTCATTTCCCCATGCTCTCTGCCAGTCATCCATATCTTAATTTGAAAGGCCAATGTTATCGTTTGTGTCTTTTCTTTTTGTGGCTAATATAAATGATGTTATCCACTCGTGCTCCATGTGTAGTGAGCTGGAAGGCTGACAGCTCCCTTTAGAGCTAAGCCAAGATCAGCAAGTATATTTGGTTTTTCTTACAAATTTCACATAGAACAGCCAATGATAAAAGCTTAGCGCTCCAGCAAATGGTAAGCATCATTTCAGAGCAGATAAATAAATATGCCAATTTAATATATTTTGTTCTTCAAATTTAAA